CAATGTAATTTCATTTCAAGGAAGGACAAATTACTTAAGCGTACAAGAAAGGCTTTGCAAGTGCCACTTCTCATATATCACCGCAAGAACGGAGGAGGTTACGGCTTAACGCGAACAAAGGGTTCCTAATTAATTTAGCTGCGCGTTTACAGTCTGAGTTCGCGATCCTTTCGCATGACGGTTAGGAAAGCGATGCAAGAAGCTACCCGACTGTTGAACGAAAAAAGAACGCCTTAACCAACTGGAGATTTTCGTCAAACAAGAGACCAAAGATGCAGCGGAGTATGCAAGCGACAGGCCCAAACGTCACGTCTACGGTGTTAATCGACCCACAGAAGTCATTTTGTTTGCCAGGCGTAATATTTGCTCACGCACGGCGTTTTCGTCCACTCAAGTTGTTGAAACGCAGCGAGAGAAGCTAGAAACGACGCAACACATACCGGGATTGCTGCTCATCTTCGGAAAGTCAGGAAAGTCGCCAAGTCGCTCCAGTCGCTCTCTCGCAAAGATGCCGAAGCTGTGCAGATGGTGGCGCCTCTGGTGCAACTTTCAACAATTTAGTTTTACTCAGTGTTGCCAAATCAAAAATTGAAAACCCGCAGTCGGAATCCCGAAAACCGCTAAAAAACCGCTAAATCCAAAACACAGCGCAAAACGACTTTTTAAAGATTTTTTTTTCTGCTTTAATTCTTCACACAGGTATAATAACAGTATAGATCATATCAACGCCATCTGAAAGGAAGCTTTCCTTTTGTTTTCACTGGAAATCTGTCACGCCGAGCCACAGTTCACCCAGGTTATGCGAAGCCAAAATTGCAGAGTGAGCGCATACGAGCATGGCAAGGGACCCTTCAGCAGTGCGTGACTAGTCAGACCCTTGTAGAGTCGTCTGCTACCAGAGGAGAAAGGTGCAGCGGCCGAAACATGCTTCTTCGTTGCAGCGTGCATGACCAAATCCACAATCTTCGCAGATAGTTCCGTTTTGAAATAGCGTCACCTGGCTCATCTGCTACCACCAGGAACCTCCAGTAGCCAGTCTTTAAGTTTGGGGTCTTATAGCCAGTCTTTTCTAAATTTTTGAGCGCACTTCATCGCGCCCATTTCACGAAACAGGGACAAAAACGTCAAAGGAAAATTGGAACATTCATGCTGTTCAAACATGCGCGCACAAAACGAGGAAGCATGTTCCGATATTCGACGTCTTAATGTTTTGAGGACGTCACAGGCGTTACTCTCACAAACCAGAACATTACTGAGAGTCAGCGAAGACGACTGTGGCTTATTATCCTTATTATTATGGATATGAAAGGCGCATAGTCGACAGTAAATCAATATAAAACTTCTATATCTCTAAAAAACCGCCAAGATTACATAAAACCGGCTAAAAATCCCGCCGCCCGCAAAACAATAATTTATCCCGCTAAACGAAACCGAAAACGGCTAAGTTTAGCGGGAAAACCGCTAAATTGGCAACACTGGTTTTACTTCCATAAAGCCCTGCATGCAACACGGCGCGCGTTGCACTCTGGGAACTAGTTGGCTAGGGAGGAGAGTGGCATGGTTTCCGTTTCGATCGACACGTCGACAAGAGATATCTCATGTTTTCTGGTCCCGAGAGCGTCATTTGTGGTCTCTAAACTAACCTAAATGGCCAGACCTCGAAGCTTTAGCACAAGCCCGAGACGTATAGCTTGTCTTAATACATGCTTGTTGTATTTTTGTACTTGCGCCTTTCTGTTAGCGTTCCAATCGAGGTATGTGGACGAGCCAGTGCTGGGAATGTCGACGCTGCGGAGCTCGGGGATCTTGCTTATGTACGAATCAACAAGCTGTAGCAACCAAAAAGTATGCACACATCGAGCTCGCGCCTTTACATTAGTGTTGTTGATCAGGAAGTTTGTTTGTTTCGTGCGTCCATAGACGAAATATTAATGTTTGCAATTACTGTATTCTTAATACGCCTGTGTACGCGAGGTAAAACTTGGAGGCGCCATTGACCCAAGAACTATAATTAATCCATAAGACTAAATACTAATAGCATCCTCGATCATCCGCACCGGTGCGCACCGGGGCACTGAGGTGCGCCCCTTCATCTTCGATCAAGTGCACCGGTGCGCACCGTACGTCCTCGATCAACGAAGCGCACCCTCCCGGTGCGGCTTTTCGTTGCCCCAACGCGCACCAAGAAAATCGGCGGTGCGCCGGGGGGCAGTCCCATCAGGCATTGCGGCCAGGAGCGGGAACCGAGAAGATGGCGGGAGTAGCAGACGCGCAGACTATCGAGATGGCGATCTTGCAAAAACGAACACGCCTCGCAGCTGCACTAGATGATTTCCTCGGGTCTTCTGACGGCGAGACGACGAGCTTCTCACCATCGCCGCGATTAGTGGCGATTGCTGCGGTGGTAAGGAGCGCCCGAAAAGCACGAACTTCGTGGAAAGCGGCGCGAGGCGTTTCGATGACAGCGAGGTTTTCTTGAACTAATAATGACGGCCAACATATACATGTGGAATTGTCACCCCCTTCGTGACCCCATCGACAATCACGTCCACAATGTTTATTTCTGTGGGACCGTCAAATCCGCGAGTAAAACAATAAAAGAAATTGACAGCAGACGGGCACCGTGCGCTGACCTACGCAAGAAAAAACGAACAAAACGCGAAGTGACGCAAGGTGGAGCTCGCCGCGGTGCACCGGCGTAGGGAGGCTCAGGTGAGGGTGGGTCAGGGTGTAAGATAGACAGGTGGGGAAACGAGAGCCAAATGAGCGACCGGATTGTGTCCCCCTCGGTTTTCTCTTTTTCTGTGGCGCCATCTATGTGGAGCACCGCGGACTCTCACTCCGGGTGGGTGACCGGTGGCGACCGGCTAAACTGACGGAGATGATTTCTCGTGGATTTTCAATGGATGACTTTCGTGCTCTCGGTTTATTTTGCGCAATATCCCATAAAGTTCCATGCAAATCCGATTCCGATTTTTTTCTTCTCGCCGCAGCGCCATCTGTCGCAAATCGGCAGTACCCGCAAGCAGACGAGTACACAATCCGGTCACGGCGCTGCGGTAGGCTTCTATGAGCCGTTTCCCCACCTGTCTATCTTACACCCTGGGGTGGGTGCAACTGCTAGATCGGCGATCACGGGACATGGACGCCATTTAATTGCTAAATTTTGCTGGGAGTCTATGGGGCAAAGGGTCGTTTTCTTTCCTAACTTGGGTCATAAAAGCCCATTAAGGTGCTTGAATAATTTACGCAAGGTATAAATGATTACTTTTCCATAGCCACCAGTTTTGTTGCGATAGGTTAAGTATTTTTTTAACGCGAAAAATGGTAAATTCCGCCATCTTGGACGTTGCTGCTTGTCTGGCAACTTTGCTTTCTCCGCTCGACGTTTGCAATTCTCGGAGCGAGAAGGAAGCGAGAGAGGCTGCGCCAAGGCGCTCGTTGCTTGCAATGGGAGGCGAGAGGAGGAAAGGCGCATGGAGCAACAGAGTTGCAACAGAGCGGGCGCCTGCTTTCGTGCAGGCAACACTGGCGCATATCCTTTCTCGAATCCTCTCCCTCAGGCGCCGCCATTAAATTGCAAACGCTCTCCAGGTTTTGAGTTGCGCCCACCCTCACTACAGCCTCCCTACACCGGCGCGGCGCAGTTTGTCCTCGATGTTGCACCGACATCGCGCTGCACGACCGAGGAGCGCTGTGCACTGTGCTGGTTTCAGGGCGATTCCGGTGCGAGTTGATCGAAGATGCTATAATATTTGCAACAAGACACACACACACACACGTAACTGTAAAAAAGAACGAATTTTTCAGTGGTGATATTACTTTTATTCAAGGTTGCTTCCGCTACGACAGGGAGCCGAGAACACTTCCGGTTCGGGTTTTGTTCGTGCGTTCCGCAATTAAATCGGTCTTTCGTTATGTTTTCCGCGTTCACTGGCTTCTTGAAGTGCTGTATTGCTTTGCAATTGATTGCGCAACTTTGCTGTTGCAGATCTCCGCGAAATAAAAGACGCAGCGAACCACGGCCGTCGAGCGCGAACAGTCTGTCACGCGCGCGTCGATTTCAGCGTCAACACAAGGATCGCTTAATTTTGAGATCAAAGATGCACACACATCCGACTCTTCCGGACAGCGAAGATGTACTTAATTAATCGAACGAATCACCACTTGAGTTCTTATGCAAATAAAGGTTTATTAAAATGTAACTTTCTTTATTTTTGCCTGAATGCAGGTTTTTATACTTCAATACATAAAATATTTTTCCCTTTAAATTTGGAGCTAAACAAACTCCAGCAAAACCCCACGGACGAACTAAAAACAAAATATGTAAAAACACGTAATTTTCAGAGTTTGTGTCAGCAGCGAACAGCGCCATTTGAGCGAACTGACGTTTGTTTTAGCGAATAACGGGGACGCGTGTTTGACACCCCTGGTATAGGGGAATGAAAGGGCACCATGAAAGCTTGTTAAAGTATTTGCAGTTTACTTTAAAAGTACATTGTATTTAGAGTACTTTAACTCAAGTACAGTGTGCCCGGCAGGCACGTAGCCAGGGGGGAAGCATAAGGCCCGGACCCCCCCCCCCCCCAGAAAAAAAAAAAAAAAATCTTACAATATGCTGGCACCTTTTCCCCCTCATACAGCATTTTGTCATGAGCGGCGGGCGCCCCCCCCCCCCCCCCCCCCCCCCCCCCCTAAACAAAATCATGGCTACGTGCCTGGTGTACTTACTCGAGCAACACACCTGTCCTATGAACGTCCACAGGGCATCCTGAAACAACCCCAGGGCTAGATGTGCTAATAAAGTACTACTTGAAGTACACAACCTCTCACTTACTTTGTACTTTACTTCCAGTACTTTTCAAATGTACTTTACCCAAAATCGGTAGACCTCAAGGAATCTAGCATTGAGGTTCACCTACCCACTATCCTTCTAATCGAAACCAATCAGAACTCGGTGTCGTTCTGACATCACCGAAACCCCTGCGCAAGTAGACGACTTGCTCTCTGCATAGCTTTATTGAAACCACAGCCTCTGCTGAGACTTGTGTGGGCTACCATACACCTGGTTACACAGATCTTCTTATCCACTTCGAGATTTTCTCTTTCTTCTTTTACGTCCTCTGTGACAAGAGAGCACCTAGAATTTTTTTTTGAGTCCGGCTGGATGTTTTTATTACATATGGCTTTTGTCTGACAAGCTCCAGAGTTTGGATTCTTTTCAGATGCTTTGAGCCCACAAGCAGTAATCCAAGTTCTTCTGTCTACATTAATAAGACAAAAAAGAAAAAAAAAATCTTTCTAGAAATTTCAAAAGGGTGTCTATGTGTATCATGTTTTTGTCGGTGAACCTTTTTGGTCACACATAAGCCATCAGTAGTATGTCATGGCCAACTGAAAATAGAACCATTTTGTCCATCCCCTCATTGCTACTGGGCAGGAACAAGTAAAATGCATGTAGGGTAACACCAGGAACACACATCAGTGTACTCTACACATTCACACAATTGTAAAACCCTTAATGTTCGTCAGCCCTTAATTTTGGGAATTTCGAGAATTAAAAAATTTATGAAATTTCGGGGCTTGCAAAAATTTTGGTCCTTAAAGGGATGCTAAACCGAAATCTGGATTCCACAAAACATGCAGCAAAAGCGTGCAACAGGATGCTACAAACACCGAAACATCACTCATACAGCGATATCTCAGACGGATGACCGTATATTTCAAGAAAAGGAGGTGCATTTGACAGAAATGTTCACGTCATGTTTCTCCAAGGAGGAGAAGGAACGGCCTCGCGTCTTCTCCGCCTCGCGGCCTCGAGGGAGCGAAGCGAAGAGAGGAGGCAACTAGGTATATTCACGTCACGCGCCACGCCGGCCTGGTTCAATCTCGACCTCTTTTTCCAAAAATACGGCCGTACATTCGAGATATTGCCTTAAGAATAGTGTTGTAGGGATTGTAGCATCCCGCCTACATCTCCTGCATTGTTTTTCTGAAATCCAAATTTACGAAATTTAGCAGCCACGATTATGTTTTCTGTGACCAATTCGCAAAAAATAGAGGCTGCGAAAATAAAGGGTTTTACAGTATGTGATGCGTGCCGACGAGGGAGAAAGAAAGAATTTCTGAACTCCATTTTCTCTCGTCGGCTACTACACCTTACTAGCAAGTTGCATAAAAGGCACCTCACACAAATAAAGACATCCTCTTTCAGTTCTTTGAGCCCCATCCATCAGCAGTCATCACAAATAGAAGCGCCGCACACCGCCAGACCTCGACGAACAACTCCCCACCAGAAACTGTACAAAATCAAGAACACAGCCGCACTTCAAAGAAATAGCAGCGATGCCTCTACAAATCCCACCTCCGCTCAGGGTAAGAAGGCCGCCACGCTCCTCGCGATGGGCGCTCTGCAAACGGGACACGTGTCCCTGACCTGCTCTGCGCAGTCCGTGCACACGCAGACGTGCCCGCACTCAAGCATCATCACTTCCACCGGGTTGCTGAGGCAAATGACGCAGTTGGGGTACTCAGACGCCACGGCGGCATCCCGCGTCTGCTTTCTGCGCTCCTTCTTGGCCTCCTCCCTCCTTGTCGCATCCTTCATCTCCTGGATGCGCCGCTGCCGCCTCTGCCACCAGGACAGCAGGATGTAGACGGACAGGCCGGCCGCCGTGAAGCCAAAAACGAAGCAGGCCACCCGGAGGACATCCACCTCCGACTTCAGCTTGGACACGAGTGCCGGGTGGCTGAGGTGGGTGAGGTAGTAGCAGGAGCCGTCTGCCGGAGGCATCAGCCGGACGGCATCCGTGCCCTTCTCGGTGGCAAGCGTACCAAAGCCCGTGAGCGTGGCGCCCTCTTCGAGGAGCATCTCCTGCTCCTCGATGCCCTTTGTCTGCTCGCCGCGCAGCCAGCCGAACAGGACGCCACTCAGGCCCTCGCGGTTCGGAATGAAGTTCTCGTAGACACACTGGACCGGGACGTCCTCGCACTCGAGGGGGTCGACGACCTCGACCGTGGCCCCGCTGTGGCGGGAGGCCAATGCGAAGGGGACATAGTTGATGACGCGTTGGATCTCGCGCTGGGTGTGTGACCTGGAGGTGGGGAATAAGGAAAAGAAACGGGGCCAGCAGTTAGCCACTCAGTTTGCAGGTGGAGAGGTTTGCCAAATTCCACAGAATTAGGCGATAGAGGTGCTTCTCCTAATGCATACAATAGGCCCATTACTTGCCAAAATGGGACACACCCAATGATCGTGGTTCACGAGTCTGTAATAGCAATAACATGGGCTGTACCAGAAAAGTGAAAAGTTAATGGGGCTGGCATCGCCGTATAATAAAAAGTGTGGCAATAGAGACCTCAAGTATTAGTGGCTATAGTCACTGACTGAATGGTGGGGAAGGGTTTCAATTGTTCCACCTTTTGCGCAAACTTCCTAACTTGGATAGCGCATGGGCGTCTGGTGAGTATCGAGCATGCACACTCGGCCAAAGCACGGTGAAAGGCAACGGGCGAGTACTAGGGGCCGGGCGGTTAAGAGATGCTCTGTTGTTCTTGTCGGTGACTATTGGTGGCGTGCGCGAACTACAGGGGGTGCTTCTCAAGTTATCAATACGATCATTTGTGAAATAGGTCTATAGACTAGTGTCGCTCTACGCATTCTGGATTATCTGCTGTGTATCATTCGCCCCGAAGTTTGTACAAAGAAGCTTCTTAGCTCTTCCTTCCTTGTGGCCCTCAAATTTTTATGCCAATGCATTCTGATCCAGGCTTCCGACAAGGGCAGCAGTTAATTAAAAAAAGACGTCCACCCACATTGATTAAAAATTGCACTGATCAAAGAAGCACCCAGCGAAGGCGTGCTGCGCAGTACGAGAAGCAAACTTAGTTCTCGTTTCCTGGTCCTGGACTTTAGTACTGGAAAGTTCCCTTGCTAATCCTCCACAGTACAGATTGTGACATGCCCAATTGGGGGGGCACCCTCTTGCTGGCTTATCTCCATTCACCTGCTCGCACAATGAACCTCCCCTCCCACCATCCGAATGGTGCACGCAAACTCATGCCCGACTTCTTTAGTTTCCTCTTTCCTTCCTTCGCTTCCCTGGCTCGAAGACGTGAGAGAAGGAAAGCCTTGCAGAATATCGGGTTTGGTCGTCAGGTTTTAACCTGATCGAGAAGAAACTGAGGAAGGAATAGCTCATCAAGCTGTAAACGGGCAAGTCAAACTCGAAAATCTATCACGTGTACAGTAAATACTTCAATAAATGCGACTTTGTGTTCCCCGTTCATTCCACTGCGTTCCACGAGTGTCGGTTTCTTATTAGTTCAAGTATGTTTAATTTTTCAATCTTGAAAACAAATAGGGCATATTCACTTGAGGCCATAGCGAACTGCGCAACTCCTCAGCATGTGCCGACGGCGAGCTTCCCACATTGTTCCTGCAACATTCATTTCATTCCATCAAGACAACCGGTCCTGGGAGCCAATATGTGTGAGCTTGTTATGAGCACACCCAGTGAACAGTGCATTATAATATGGTGCCCAGAGAATACCCCCTACAAGCATGTTTCCCCAAAACAACTGGCTGGAAGAGGCAGTAGCCGACTCCCGGAGTCTTTTCTTTGCCCGTTCGACTCAGAACTCGCAAAATCACCCCTGCGATCGTCTAGTGAGTTGGAAAAAAAAAAAGCTATACACCCGTTATAGTTCATGAACGTTTGTATGTTTGTTTTTTTGCGGACCCAAAGAATATTTGCGCAGAATATGTGGCGCGCTTCTCAGTGAAAATTTTTAATTTGTAATCCATCCCTAAAAACAAGCTGTAGAGGATCTTGAAGAAAAAAACAAGTTAGAGGTGAATTCCAGCTTGTTTTTGTCCTGCCAATTTGAATTTCACAAGCGTGAGCATTTGAGCCGAACGTATCAATAAACGTAAGAAAAATCGAAAAACCAACCGCTGGGCGTGACATCACACCCAGAGGTTTCAACCGCCTTGCGCGTGCCGCCTGTCAGGGAATGCGTGCAGTGTTTTTGACTGTTCGGGTAAGGCTTGCGGAAGGTGCAGAAATGTTGAGATTTCTGTATATTACGTCACAATTTTCTCCTCCCACTGAACGCGCCGGGAGGGAGGGGCTTCACTTCTATTTTGAAGAGTGCTTTTATGGACACTTGGGATATTAATCTGAAATATAATTTTGATGTCCGTTATCCTAAAAGTCAAACAAAAACGATTTAATTTTTTTTTTGTTTCAATTACAAAATTGGTTGTTTTTATTTAAAAAGACCCTGAAAAGAAAATTTTTTTAAACAGCCTAAGTGGGACACGCGTGTCAAAATATATATTTTATGTGGAAAAAAATAACTTTTAGAGCAATATTGACGGCAAGAAATTTATTTTAAATTCTGCGCGCAAAGTCCATGACGTCACGGGCCATTCCGGAATGTCCATCTCGCGCATTCACTCTTTCCACCTCAATGTGAAGATGAAGCCGATCCCCATCTCCTCCAAGCGCCCGAAATGCCGACAGAGAAAACAAGTGGCAAGGAGGTGACTGCCGACTAAATCGCGTCTCGTGCAGTCATTATTGCTCTAAACATTTTTTTTTCCCTGCAATCAATTTTTTGACATCCAGATTGTTAAAAATAACATATTTTTTCTTTTAAGGGGCTTTTTAACAACAAATTTAGAAAACCAATTAACCAGTTGCCCTAAAATGGTGAGCTAAGCCTGGCAATTAAAAAAAAAAGGAATTGGAATTCCAGCATCCCCGTTGAGCACAAATCGCAATGTCGCAAGTTCCTTTGCCACACATTAAACTTAAAAAAGAAAAGAAAACAGCTAGGCTTGGTTTGCATAGTATCATACAAATATGCGCCAGCTACTCTCAAATCACGACTGAAGAATCGGTAGCGGCAAGCTCCATATTAGCCAAAATGTGCACTGCGCCACGCAACACGGCAGGACGTACGTTCGCAGTTAAGACGACAGCTCATCCTACGCTCGGGTGAAGGCAAAACAATTTTTTTGACAGTAGCCTTCACAGATCCAACAAAAAAAGAATCAGAGATGCTGTGACACATGCCGTGCAAGGTGTCATGCAAGCACCAGGCTTGCTTCGGAACATTTTAAAGATTGCATCTTTTAAGAGTGGCTCGAAGATACTAGTTCATTAGGAAAAAAAAACAAAAAACCTCCTAGACAGATTATACATGCTTTTTAAAACAGGTGAAGAGTTATCAATGGACAACATAACAACTTCGTGCAAATTACTTGGCATGACATCTGCTCGAGTCACACTTGCTACGTCACAGGAGGCTCCCACAAGGTGGTGCCACTGAAGCATCTCGTCGCCAATAGCGGCTATTCTCCATTTGTGTTTTGCTCACTATAAAACTAACCATCCGCTCTCACTCGCGCCTTCTCTTTTCCTGACCCGTACCACTTGACAGCAGGGGCGGATTTATGGGTCCGGACAGGGAAGGGTGGTAGGCTGGTGGGTGGGGGAGGGGGGTCTGCTGAGATATGACTTTACAGTCAAAACGTTGCCCAGATCTATTTTGTTGACCCAACACCTGCTATGTCACCAAAAACTAAACTTTTGGCTGGTGTATATCAATGATGTTATTAAAACAAAGTTGATCTTGAGGAGCTTAGGGGGGCGGTAGCACCCCCCCCCCCCTCCCCCACCCCCTAAATTCGCCCCTGCTTGACAGTCGTAGAGTAGTGATTCAACCTTGCCAGTTGGCAACTGGTTTGTTTACCGTTTCCAGAAACATTGTGCTTCTTTCTTCAAGGGAAATGTGCTTCAAACAGATATTTGCTGTCACCAGATGGTAAGTACCCCAGACAATAAATCTCTCTTGCTAATCTAACGGTTAGCAATTATGGCGTTTATCATTGGTGTCTGTTCGAGATGAAGGATATGTCGCTCTATTTTTGTGTCATTACAAAAGCCAATCTCAATATGTGACCATGCCGGTTGTTGGACTAGCCTTTTACTGGAAAGGGCAGTGTTTTAGTAACAGTGGACATAGTGTACAACCGTTTTGTGAATAGCATTACTCGCACGTACAGTGGAAACAAACATTGTAACAAGATACGCACATATCTCGCAACACTTACATATCTCGCAACACACGCAAACGAAGCATAGTACAATATATGACCTGTGCTAGTTATGGAAGTGAAAATATTTCTGCAGTATGTTATATAGCTGGTAGACACAGTTAAATACTCGAAAGACACAAATGCCACTAGACAGTTAATGGAACCAAACCTATTCTGTTAAATATTGATATACAAACTTAACTTTTTGCGGATATTACTGCAATACTCTGAGAGATAGCCCATCTAACATAAAAAGAATTGAGGGTGAAAATGAGGGGTGGGCTAACTTTCAGAGTGCAATAAAAGAAAGTGAAAGAATTATTGTTTTACATTTTGTGGCCCGTGAAACTTGAGATTGATTGCAGCGAGGGGTGTTGAAGTAGCTCTCAAGTCAGCAACATTCACTTATCTCCCATTGTAGCTAAGTAACACTGAGTCTGCCAAGGCCACCACTGGCCTCGGCAGAGAGACCTTTAAGACGGATATTTTTCTGTGTTGTTTAAAAAGTAGAAAATCATGCCAAAAAGTCGGAGTGGGACATCTCTTGGGGATACTATGGTTAACGGACATGGTAAGCACAGCAGTTGGAGACACCTTTGAGACCCCAATGCCCCCTTACCAGAATCGTGAGAAGGGGCTCCACTGGATCTTGTGCTCAGTGAGGACGCACTCCTGAATGACGGCCTTGGCACTGCGGATGTGCCTGCTCTTCAGGGTGTCTCCAAGCGACTTCACCTGACCCCTGACGACGGCGTGCACTGCCTTGCCATCTGGGTACTCCTCCCGCAGCTTTTGCACCAGATGCGAGTCGATGTCGAACTGCCGTGCCGTCTGCGAGAAAACATGAGTTTCAAAGTGTCAAGACTGAGACGGGGAGAAACAAGTGATCAGGAATGAACACGGAGAAAAGCATGATCAAAAGAGTTTTCGAGAGGAAAGTGTGCAACTCCATATTGCACCCCCTCCCCCCTCCCCCCTCCCCCCCAAAAGGAACAATGAAACATGGCACATTGTACAGGTACTATCGGGGAAAAATGAAATGCGAACAGAGGAGCAAGTGGCTCGCAGTACAGGCTGCGCCGCCTGGAAGTGAGCCTAGGAGCGAGGGTGCGTGGCCTACTTCGATGTGTTCACGCCCCTCGATTGGCGCTCCCCCAGCTTCGGCAGTGCGCCTCTCAGTGCGCTGAAAGCTGTCACCGCTATCTTTCCTGCTCGGTGAGTGCGGCGAGCTTCTTTGCACCGCACGCGCTGAGCCAGCAAAGATAGCGGTGATGGCTTTGAGCGCACTAAGAGGCGCGCTGCTGAAGCTTGGGGAGCGGAGAGGGAGGGGCGTGAACACGTCGGAGTAGGCCACGCACCCTCGCTCCTAGGCTCACTTCCAGGCGGCGCAGCCTGTACCGCGAGCCACGCGCTCCTCTGTTCGCATTTCATTTTTCCCCGATAGTACTTTTTGCAGAAGCCTCAAGGTGTGTTTCAGCAAAGTGCTAGAAACTTCATAAATCCCCTTGGCATCTGGATAAGACTTTGTGCCTGTTTCTTGGCTGTGACAATGTCTTTCTTGTATGTTTATGATTGCTAAAGTGGAACACTGACAAAATGGTAGTGGATGTGTGCACAAGCATATGTTGCAATGCAGGCTGCAGTCAAGAATGCGAGCGACCCGCCAACTGTTGCCATGATATAAGTGGTGATGGTGGGGCCTAAACCAGTGGTGGAATGTGATAGCATGTGGTTCATTATCCACACACAGATGAATCTCCACCTTCCCTAGGTTCACGGGGGAGAGAGAGAGGAGGGTTCGGGGGAGAGGGGGGGGGGGGGGTAAGGTCTACGCGTTTCAGTGCTCCGTCAGAAAGTAACACAAGCCACAACGATCTAAAAAAAAGTGAACACGCAAGACCCCACAGTGTAGACACCCCATCTGGATCCAGTCTGTCTTTTGGCCCAACAATGCGATTCGGGTAGACTTATGGATGAAGAAAGAATAAACAATTAAAACAGGGACAACACAACCAGACTTATCGTTGTAATCGGGTAGACTTATCGTTGTAAAAATTCGCTCAGACGACAAATATCAACGAATGGAAAGGTGATTAGAAGGGGACGAAACATACAACTAAATGCACAAAGTTCAGGGTCACAGGAAAACTGCGGAATGATGCAGCCGGGTGCCAATCGGCCGAGGCATTGTGCGCACTGGACAGCGTGCTGCAGCAACAGGCCACTGGCAGAGGCGGAGCGATTACATGTAACAAGAAATAGTGGAAGTGACGCACAGTATCACACCAAGGACCGTCCGGCATACCTGCACAGCCTCGAAGTTCTTCGTCTTTGACCGGTAGATCTTGTAGATCAAGCCCAAAGTAATGGCATTGACTCCTAGGCACACATTGTCCACCGTGACGTATTCCGAAAACCAGTCGGGCGACATTCTGATACAGTTGTCCCTTTTAATATACGCTTACCGCGACCGAAAACACCGTGCCACCGAATATACTAAACGTACTAAACCAACTAAACTTATAAAACACAAGCAATTTCGGCATGGATCCATTGTAACCCTTTAGGTGGACGCATGGATGCATATGTTGATCTATCTAATCGGACGGCTATTTGCGCCACCTAGCCAGAAGAAAGCGTGTAATTTGCTTTCTTCAGGAAAAGGAGTGCGACGTTGTTTCAGGCTTTTCCGTCGATATAAAAGACATGTCTTATTCCATTCCCCATGCCACTCTTCTACAGATTCTTCGTACAACAATCGAAAAGCAAGGCGTCCAAAGCTACCAAAACGCAGCTGGGATGAACCTCGACAGCTTCCTGGAGCTCCTAGGGATCTACCTTACGGCAACTGTTGTGTCTCACGAGGGCCAGAAATATGTACAGAAATCTGGCGTTTGCATAGGTTCCCGAGTTGCCCCATACCTCTGCGATATATATCTTGCAGTATGCGCGAAGACCATCCATATCATTTCGTCGAAACTCGTTTCGTGGAATTACGTTTCGTGGACAACTTTTCGTGGACACACGTTTCATGGACACACGTTTCGTCGACAGTGTGACGTTTCGTCGACAACCGTTTCGTCGACAGCACCACCGTAAAGCGTAATGCCTAGCGCAGTTGCTCTCCAAGGTGAGCAACTGCGCTATCCTCTCGCTCTCATCCGTTTCAGATGGAAAAGCAAGAGCGCGCAGGACTTCGCGCGCGGCCTATTCGGATATTTGCAAGTTTCGATGCCCGTTTATAGAACCGAAAGTTACTGGAAGAAGAAAAGCGGTAGATAAAATATGCGTAGGCACAAAGCAAAACTTCGATCCAATGGTGTGTTGCGGAAAAGGGCGTAAACACTGTTTTTTCCCCCTCCATATTGGTTATTTTTAAACAAAAATACAGATTGCAGCCTTTTATTGCAACATTACAACCCTAATATTTTAATTGTTTATGTCAATTATTCAAAAGGAAACGTGATGCAGTGTTTTACTGGCTACTGCGACTTATACGCGAAAAAACTGTATAGTCACACTCGTTTCATCGTCATTTATCCTTAAGGGCCGATTAAAAAGGACATTACACAATAAGGGGGCTGTAAACAATGTCAAATAAAAATAAATAGCCAAAAGCACGAAAACCAATAATACTCGCACTACCGGGAGCACGCTACCCGCAAGTAAATCTAAAACAAAAAAACAAACGAAAAAACAACAACATTGCAATGCAATAAATAAATAAATAAACACGAGAATTGGTAACAGATAAATAAAACAGTACACCAAGTTTAGTCGTATTACACAAAGTAAACCATAGTTGATATCAAATTAATGCGCTTCTCTCGAGCAGCCGCCACATGCAAGGCCTTGGAGGCGGTAGTACCACCAGACGAGATCTGTCGGCAGCAGCCAACTGGTCCTCACACGCGACATTAAGTTGTTCTTTTATCGATGCCAGCAGACAGATACCTGGGGCAAGTTCGTAGCTTTTTTCATAAAAGAGCGGCTTCCACATCTAATGTTCTTTGGTCACATATTGATTTATCTGCATGCAAAATTTCATTACAAGCATAACATATGAAGAACTATTGTGTTATTCATTATCCAGAAGCTAAATATGCTAAAGACTAAAAATCGTATGCGGTCTGGTAAGTACAGTACGTTGAATACCCAGTGTTTGGGGGAGAAAACAACCGTATTTTATCACCGTAAAAGTAAACCACGCGTAGGAAAATGCTCAGTCTCCTTGAAAGTTTATTGCTAGCGGCTAAGACCAGATGCCAATTAGCTTGAAAACCGATTTTATGCCATTTTCAACGGTAGGAAGGCTGTGTGCACCGCAAACAGGCCTCGTTTATTCTTTCAAATTTTCTTTAAGAGCTTCAGTGTTTTGACGTGTGGACTATCCATGCTATGTTCAGGTGGCTCTTGAGGATTCTGCCAAAAGACGCGACGCGCGGAAAGATACGCTTGCTCTGGAAATGACCCAGCCACTTTTTCAAAACAGTCGGAGTGCCGGCGGCCAGTCCGCGAAGGGTTGCACTCGATGACGTACAGACACCTCGATCACGTATGCTGCCGAAAGCGTAGCCCTCAAGAGCAGCGCGTATTATTGAATGTTTTAAAAATCTAATTTGAGAAAGGACACTGGTCGATAACAAAACTTCCCGGCTTTGACAACGCTTCCTTCCCCAAAGGTTCGGGCAAAGACACGAGCGAAACCATTCAAATCGTAAGTTCCGAAATCAATGCAATCGGCGAGCCCCCCCCCCCCCCCCCCCCCCTCTAAAAAAAGTATAAGCAAAAAAAAAATTGCGATAGTTTAAATCGGTGAGGCAAGATGGCTGCGCACTGATTCGCCATACTTGGCCCAGTCAGCCATCTTTCATCCATCCATCCATCCATCCAACACAAGGCCGCGCCGCCGCGCGCCGCGCAGGTAAAGTTCACTTTAGAGTTCCTGTATAGGTTACCCACTTTAGAGTTCCTGTATATGCTACCGTAGGTAGCATATACAGGAACTCTATACTCCGTTTCAAACATAGCGTGCAACGTAGTCAAAGCTAGCGCGCCGGTTTGCACAGCCGACCGCGACTACGTTCGCTCCACAAAATAGTGCCGCCCCTGAAAAAAAAAAAAAAAGTCGAAAAGTGTACATCTTTGTAGCTAGTAACTAATAGTGTCGTTATGATTTCGAGGGAACACCGATTCTTTTTCAATAAAAAGGAAGAGATAATGTAAACTACTCCAAATTATTTTCCGTTTTCGTTCGTGCGGCACTCGGACTCGCTTCGGGTTTTCGGGTTGTGCGGCTGCCCCTGCCTCGCCGGTTTCGTGAAGATGGCGTCTTACGCGGGAAGCTTTCTTTTCCTGCTCGGATATTTTCGAAGCTTCGTTGTGTGAAGATCTCGCAAAAGTGCAAGCAGGTGATCGCCAACGTGTACGCGAGTTCAAGAACGTGTTTCCCGGAGACGTCGGTCCGTGAGGTCCTGGAGACGGTCAGTAACGACACCGGAGTGTCTGGCAAGGTGGCGTCCCCGAAGCGAAGACCTCGCAACGTGAAAGTTCCGAGCACGCGGACAGTATTGTGAACTGCCACCTGTTGTTTCTGGTGTTGAAATCGGCCTTATGGCTTCAAAGTGAAACAATCGTCAAGAAGGAACTGTGTCGGTGATGAATCGTGCCTACGGCTCCGTCTGCTTGCGGGACCTTACAGCAGGCGGTGCCCGTGATTGCATTCCGAAGCGTCTGGGTTCTTCTGCCTGCGGGACCGTAACCATTGTCGGCTCCGTCTGCCTGAGGCACCTTAAACTTGGTCGGCTAAGTAAACGACGCACATGCCCGTGTCTGTATTCCGAGGCCCCTGCTTTCCTCGAAAAGGAAACAACACTCGATCCTGATCTCGAGTGCCGTGTGTTGTGTACGCGTCTATTGTGAATCGCTCCCGGTTCATGGGGGCACCGGCACCAGAGCACCGAGATACTGCCGTCTGGATGACTTCTTCCATACACCGGCGAGTATTCTGACTCTGAAGGAAACTTCCATGAAGTCACATCACGTGAGGGAATGCCAAGCCGTCTGAACAATGGCAGTGCGGTCCCCTAATCACAATATTCGTTATATAAAGGACCGTCCACCACACTCTCAAGGTACTCTCTGATTTTCACGCTACCATGTAAATAAACGGCTTTAAATAGAGACGCCCTGGGTCTCGACCGTTCTTCCGTTTTGACGAGGCCGGCGCAAGTTCGAGCGGAACACCAGCCCCTAGTCTACCTTCTTATAAATAAAATCAACAAGAAAAGAGGAATTGAAATATGCACTTCCGCAATACGCACAATCTTGCACAAAAAATCGGTCAAAAAAAAAAAAAAAAAAACTTTGCGCCCTAAGTGGATTCGAACCACCGCCACCGAGATGTCGGAATCGCAAGAGCAGCGCCTTGTACCGCTCGTCCACGAAATCTCGCGGAGTAACACAATTTTGTGTGTTTTTTCATGCGCACTACTTCAGTAGCTTTCCCAGCGTTGCACGCGATGTTTGAAACGGAGTATAGTTCACTTTAGCGCAGGCTCAGAGGTCGCGAGGAGGTGCAGCTGGCGAAGCCAGGAGCTGGCAGAGCGAGCTGTCGACGAAACGTCGCAACATCTGTCGATGAAACGAGCGGGTGCTCGTTTCCACGAAACGATCTGTCGATGAAACATCGCAGTGTCGACGAAACGATTTGTTCATGAAACGTCGTTCGACGAACTGAATGCCACCGAGCTAGATCCTGTAAAGGATTTCTTCCGAGTGATTCCGAACATTCAAAAACTGTCAAACAAGGATTGGCCACTACAGCTCTTGTCGCGGCACTACAGAAATCTTGCCCCTATAGGCTCGAGCGCAGTTTCAAAACACAGATCTCTAGGCTTCAAGACTCCGGATACACGAGCACACTCCTCGTACCTGTTTGTGAAAGCATATGCAAGCAAGTAGGACGCAAACCAAGGGAGACTGCACAACCACCAAAAAAGAAGCCTCCAAAACCTCTGGTTGTGTTGCCATATGTCCATGGGGTTACACATCGCCTGAAAAAGATCGCTGGCCGACATGGAATACAAGTCGTATTCTCAGCTCCCAACAAAGCATATGTCATGTGCCGCAAGGTTAACGGGGAGGCCGACAACAACGAAAAGAACACGTGCAGCACCGCACACGGGACTCAATACGCCCCATGTGAAAGCGCTGTTGTTTACAACATTCCGCTCTCATGTGGGAAATGTTACATCGGACAAACTGGGCGCTGTGTCAATGACCACACCGGAGAACACGCTGCCTCCGTGCACGCAATTGCAGCAGCGGGCCATCTTCCAGCTCATTGTCGCGAATGCCAATGTGCTCCATGCTTCTCAAACATCACCATCTTGGCTAGACAAAAAACAAATCGCAAGGGAAATTCTGGAGTCCCTAGCCATTGAAGGAGAAGAAGGAAGATTGCGTAAGCACTGCCTCCATTGTGGTACATGCAAAATAAAAGAAGTATTTGCAGGAAACACCCCCTGGGTAAAATAGCCGGCATGAGCCCACAGGACACGCTGTCTCTGGGGATGCAAGGTTTGTCAAACTATTGTG